ATAAGTTCCAAATTGCTTCATTCGGTTCTGGAGGGCCGAAGGCAAGGGAACCATCGAATAATTCGGACAATACGGGACATGATCGATTGACGCTAAAACGAAGGAGTGACATGTCAGGAAAGGGAAAACGGACTTCTAGGATCAGTCGAAAATATTCAGATATGTGAGGATAAGAGACTTAACCAAATGACTTACACGTCGTGGAGGCTTCGCTGGTTCACCGTCTATGCCATCTCCCCAAATGGGGATACTTGTGGCAGCCACTTGAGACGGTCCTGTGACGCCGACGGCAGGCTTCCTCAGGTCTGCAAAGACGAACAATAGAAGGGGCTGACACTCGAAACATTTTTTCACAGTCTAGTCATATCTCCACAAATACATAAATATTGCTTTCAAGACCAATGCAGTCTTCAAAATCGGTATAAAAGAGGCCGCTTACTTGATTTCATTTTATTGGTGTGCCTCGGCTGTCTAGCGCATGAAGCGTAACCGACGCATAGATCAAACGTCATCGGTTCGTACAGTTCATTCGCAGGCTGCAAGCTCCAATGCGCCCGCTTCTTCCTGACAGTCCGGAGCATGCTCACTTTGCTAAAAGCAGGAAGAAAATAAATTGAATAAATTAGCAGTCATGTTTGGCAATGCTATTTGTTCTCAAACTTGCAATGTTCTGCAGAGAAATGGGTCATATTCAGCCAATAAGTAGGCTTTAACCCGGGACAAACCCTCCCCCTAATCACTTAGCTTAAATAAATAAGGCTCACATTAGTTGGCATAAGGTTAAGAAAACTAATACTTCTCGACCAAGACTCAAGAAGTGACCCTTCATCTACCTAGAACATTCTCCTGACGACCATGTAAGAATATGAAAATGTATATTGGAACATACAAGGAAATGGCAATTACCTCAGAGCCATTAGTTCGTCCGAGTTCCTCAACGGCAGTGGTCCCTGCAGACGCATCTCGACCGGTGAGGACACCGACTCCACCGACTTCCAGTTCATGGAGTTGATGGTACCACCGCCATCACTGCCAATGCTGTTGAGGAATACCAGGTCAATATCAGTAGACGCCTCCTGGTCCAGGATAATCGGCAGTGCTAAGGCATTGTTCATATTCACGCCGCCGCCTTCCACAAAGTTGTCCTTCAAATCATATGTGTGGCCAAACAGAAGACTCGTTGATGAGTCCATGGAACAAAGCGACCGGCAGGTTAAAGACGGCTCCGGAGAACAGATCCTGGATGAAGAAGCCGAGGACGGAAGAAATGTCCTTGAGTTGCAGACGAAGGAGTGAGGTGGAGGGACCAGGGATGAATAGTGGTAAGAGGAGGTCGATGGGTTGGATGGGGTCTGCAGAGGAATAGGAGTTGCCAGAGGTGCCTCACTGAAGTTCCAGCAAATCGACGAGTCTGAAGAACAGGGATTACGCAGAGTATCCTCAGGAGAACATCTTCGCAGCTGCACTGCTGACGGCGACTTTGTTGAGTTATTGGACACGAGTGAGGCGGGTGGATGAACCAGGTGGCGGCAAGAGTTGGAGTAAGCTGTGGAATTGGACTTCGGCTGGTGTCTGGGACGACGTCAAGAAGGAGATGTCGAATCGGGCTGCAATAAACGAGAGGAAGATTGCTGGCACGATTCGACTCTCTGATCTTCTTTCGACTCGTCCGTAGGCTGTCTGCCTGTAAGCCAAGGAAATGCGTATACCGACGCGTTATTCAAAATTTAATAAAATATTCTAGGGCATGAATACTCATCAGAACGTTTAATACCCCGTCTAAACCCCACATCCTCCTGCTTTATAAACTATAGAATGTGTCCACTTCGACCTGATCTCATCCTGGAACCTGAGTTTCTGGTCTGCGTTACAGATAAAGCCGAAGACTTCCTCGTCCTCCTAGCTTGTCCCCGCCGGCTAATGGCCTAGGTTTCTATACATAAATTTGCCCCACATTGCGCATCTATCACAAAAGGTTTGGTTAAACTAACTACCTAAATGAGCGTAAGTTTCTTAAATATATTGTGTTGGAAGACCATGCTAGTCTTACGGAACTATGTCAACAAAATGCAGGAAATTGAATAACGATACGAGGATCAACTCCCAAATGAATGAACACTGGTGCAATCGATTCTTTCCCTGACAGTATTCACCAAAGAAATGATAATTTTTATGCCAGAATTGTAAGAATTGCGGTAAACCTCACTTGAGCATTGCATTTGGTAATTTACCCTAAATAATATCGAGAGCTCCAGCGGTAGAAAAATATCTTTTTAGAAATCTTGCATGCGTTAACCAAACTTTCTACGGCCAGAAGGGAGGGCTGTCCTATGCTGTATGGTTGACTAAGGCTAACTTAAAGACCAAAGCTTACGCAAGCAAGATTTAGTGTATTCTGCGTCGCATATAAAGGTTAAAAGTGCTATCGCATAAACGGCAACAGTGGATGGGGATGGAAATAAGGATAACCAGAGACTTACCACACTGTTTAGATGTCCTTAATGGAGCATCCATACAGTCAGTACGTACGTCCTGAATAGAATATCATACAAGAATTCCAGTCGTGCGGACAAGGCGTTCATAAGAAGTAGCTCTGAGAGAGAGTCATCATGGACAAAACTGACAGTCTATCTACTTTCAAATACAGGGATTATCGATTTCTCCTGTTCAAATCTCGATTATTGATCCCGAGCCTTCGGTTTTGTGGCTACCCACGTGGTCAGGGCTGTTACCTGCACGTGTACTACACGTGGGCCGTTAAACGTCCACACAATTGGACGTCGAATAAAGAGGGCTGTAGTGTTTAAAATAGCACATATTTGGTCCTTCATAATCTCGCAAATGTTGTAAAGTCGCATTGTCCGGGATGTTTCATGCAATGTAGGCCAATTTTTAATTCACAAATACAAGATTATGAGAAGATTCTCATAATAGTATTTAACGGCTTGAAACATGTTACATTAATTTCGCTGGCATGACGTAGAGTGAAAATTTGCAACGGCATACATTCTGTCTGTGCCAGAATGGTATAACATGAAAATTGAAGCGAAGCTGTACCCCTCCAACGCTTTCCAGGCGAGCTTCTGATAAAGCTCCAGAAATTATAACCTTGCATTGTGCAAAATCGACTTGATGGCGTACAAGAAGTTGCCGAATAAAAAAACCACAAAGTGTACAACATTAGGTAGTATAAATTCTGTAAACCCATTATACGCAAATATGAATGCCAACCTTAAAAACGTCTTGCCAGCAGCTAACACACTTAAAGATAAATGAGGATGCATTTTCTGGTTTCCTGTAGTCCTCAGTCCGTGGAAGCCATGATTTAGGAATATATGTCAGGATGCCTATGGGCATATGTTCTGTTAATGGCCAGCAAGTTCCAGCAAGTCATTTGACTTACAGGAAAGTATGGCATGAAGGAGTGTCGACGTCATCTGTAGGAGGCAGAGTCCGGAGTTAGAGACTGAAAATATGTTCAGCAGAATTGATTACTCTCTGTTCGTTAGACCTAATTCAGTGATTCATACTCTGGTGGAAGCTGCGTGTGCGATAGATGCATGATCTGGGAAGTGTTCAATTATCTTATACGGTCTTTCGCACTAGTGCTGGATGTTTTGGATGAACCGAGAGACGTGATCCAAGTTGCCGGCCTTCCAGTGAGTGTTTGACCTTCTTAGAGTGGGACTGCTAGGCAAATGTACAGAACCCGTTGTGCTTGAAGAGAATTAACACCCAACTATCAAGAAAGCAACCTCGTTAGGACACTTCTCGAACGTTAAGGAGGTTCCGCACATACCAGAGCACCTGTGCCTAGCAATGTCGCGCGTGCTTAGTGGCCGTGTGAAAGAAGCGTGCGGCTGGTCTCAGAGGTGCCTGTCGTGCAGGCGTGGCCTGATAGGTCACTAAAAGATGATTTCGATGCTGTTGGTGATAACAACATTGGGTAATACAAGCGAACATGCGTGTCCCAGGAAGCAATTGAGA